AAAAAAAAAAAAAAAAAAAAAGGCTAACCAACCCTCCCTCCTCACTTCTGGTTACTGCCTTACAGTTCTCTTGGTCCTCACTTCCATGCCTCACTAAATCATGGTCTATACTTTCTGTCTCCTACTTTTCACTTTCTATTCAACCCTCCCCTTCCTTTCCCATTCTTCAACTTTAGGATTACCCAGAGTTCCATCCTTGGCCCTTATACATTCTTAAATACTGGTTGGGGATCAAGACAGAAGCATTTACAAGTGCTTCAACAAGTTTTTCAAGTGATTCAAATTGACACCAGATTGCAAACCACAGTTCATCCTGGGCAATTTCATTTACTCTCCCCACATCTTCAACCACCACCCAGACAATGATGTTGTACTTAACTCTGTATCTCAGGCTCAGCACAGATCTCTGAGCTCCAGACTGAACCTGGTTCTCAAATCTGGATGCCCATCAGAAGCACCTGAAGAGCTTTTTAAACCTATAGATTCCTACTGGCAGCCTCTCTCCATCCACATTCTGATTCACTAGATCCAAAATAGGAAACTAGACCAAATTAAAATATAATAAGCCTGACACATAGTAAGTATTCACTGAATGGCCGCTAGGATTATTTTACTTTATTTTTGGATGCATTGGGTCTTCGTTGCTGCGCGCGGGCTTTCTCTAGTTGCAGCGAGTGGGGACTACTCTTCGTTGCGGTATGTGGGATTCTCATTGCAGTGGCTTCTCTTGTTGTGGAGCACAGGCTCTAGGCGCGCGGGCTTCAGAAGCTGTGACACGTGGGCTCAGTAGTAGTGGCTCACGGGCTCTAGAGCGCAGGTTCAGTAGTTGTGGCGCACGGGCTTAGTTGCTCTGCAGCATGTGGGATCTTCCCGGACCAGGGCTCGAACCCGTGTCCCCTGCATTGGTAGGCGGATTCTTAACCATTGCGCCACCAGGGAAGCCCACCGCTAGGATTATTAAGACGTCCCAACAATGACAATTCAGCTCCTCTCATAGTCTACCTGGCCAGACAGGTTCTGGGTATCATAAACCACAGACCAGTCTCCATCTAAGAGAATTCCTTCCTCTCTAAGCTAACAGCATCATCAGTTATCTAAGACAGAAATCTAGCAGTCATCTTAGATGTCTCTCACATCTCACTACCTGAACTTTTTTCCTCTCCTTTGTCTGTTTTCGTTTTCTTGTAACTTGCTCACTGGCTCACTACTGTATTTCCTGTATCTAGAACAATATTAGACACACAGTAGATTCCTTAAATCTATACTGAACGAATGAATCCACAAATAATTGCTGAATTATAAATGAACCCACAAGCTAAGCATTTTAGTTTCATACGTTAAAAAGCCCTCTAGAAAAAAGAAAAAAAAAAAGCCCTCTAAACAGTTTCCTCTCCAATTCCAGTGAGTGCTTCAGTTCTTCTTTACAAAAAGGATACGGTCTGAGTGAAAAGAGGCCAAAGGAAAAGAGTTGAAGAGCAAGTGTAAGATGGAAAAGAGCTAGAACAGAGGATTATAATCAAAGAATGAGGTCTTGGAAGACTTCAGAAATAACAGCACTTACTGTAATTTTCTACATGTCTGTCTCTCCTGCACTGAGTAGTACCAGCCTGCAGTAACTGAAAGCAGACTTTGACCCTGGACAGATGTGGATCGAACTCCACCACTGTCATTCACTAGCTGCCAAGGTTTTGAGTATGCGATTTATTTGAGTCTGTTTCCTCACCTGTAAAATGAGGGTAATAATAGCCTATGCGTCGTAGGAATGTTGTAAGTCTTAAAAAGCAAATATGTAATGTGCCTGGCATGAAGCTCACCACATAGAAACTAAGATTACGATTAAGATGCTTAAGGACCACTCAACTCTCGGACTCTCCGCCTCCAGACCTCAGGAACCTCCCCCAGGCTCCACTCACCTTCCCAGACCACACCCCTCAGAGTTTCTCTAGGCCCCGCCCCCTCCGGAGCCTACCAGGCCTTCCCAGCCCACCCGAACCCGGGTGGCCGTACCTGACCCGTAGCGCACGTCGTGTGAGTGCAGTCGCACGTTGTGGCGCGTATTGAGCAGCTTCACCACAGAACCGCATGTAACGACAGCCAGACTGGACGATCCCACAGCACTCCACAAACCCCCGAACAACAGCAGCGACACCACAGCCATCCTGGTTGTAGCGCGGAGCCCCAATCTTCGAAGAAAACTCGGCCCCTCCCCGGAACCGGAAGCCGCGGGTGGAACCACAGAGAGGATGAAAAGGATCTCTAGTCTGGTCTTTATGGTTCCTTTGGCTAGAGCGGCCTGAGGAACAGGCTAGGTCTGGTTGCTTCCGACCTCCTCATTCAGCTTATTCTGTTCCGGGGGCCCTATGACAGTTGCCTTCCTGAACTGCTTCGGCCAGCCCAGCCCAGCTACCCCATCCCTTCCTCCCCACCCGACCCCCGCCCCCGGCGATGCCCAGAGACCGGGCTGGGAGAAGAGAGCAAGAACTGGTCCGCCCACTACCAGTGACAGGGGGCCGGAAGTGACGTAGTACGTTGACGCAGCAGCGGCGGCGGTGGTGGCGGAGGCACCGTGCGGTGGGTCCGTACTATCTTTTCCCAGTCTCGGTTCGAGGACTCCATTTTACTCGGTGGGGGCTTAGCGCACCGGAGAAGCGACGGACCTCAGACAGGTAAAGTTTGGACTGGAAAGCGTGTTCCTCGAATGGGTCAGGTGGGGAGCCAGGCTCCTAGGGCCTGGTCCCGTAAGGGACGAGGCAATGGGGAGCCGTATGCGGGAAGAAGGGGGCCTCCGGCCTGCCCTGCTCTATGAGAGAGAAGGAGGAAGAAAGCGGGGTAGTTGCTCAGAGTCTCAAGGCTTTTCCCAACCCTCTGCCACCCAGAACCCATGAATTGGGTGGCCTGTTGTGTCAACAGGCTTCCTGGGATGCCGTCCTTTTCTCGCAGCTTCTGAAAACTGGGCCGCGCGATAGGATTTGGAATGGAAGGGACCTGGGCTTCCGAGTCAGGATCAGGTGATCGAATTGTTTGTCCTGGGGATGTGAAACCTATGGAGCTTCCAGCAGCTCGGCCATCAGGCTAGGGCGCGATGCCAAATTCCGTCTTTTTCCATATTGTTGAATAATATAATTAGAACTTTTTGTATATGGCTACATTCATCAAACGCTTACCACACACATGAGAATGGGCTATTAAGACAAAAACTTTATATTCTTCCAGTTTCTGCCTTTCTCTCCAGGAACTCCCTTGAACCAGCTGGAGCGGTTCATT